ATATTAGATTTCTCGATTTTTCGAATTTTCGATTATTTTTATTTTTAATTTTTTTCTCACTGTTAATATACAAAAATTGTCACTAAAAACATTTATTAAAAATTCATACACAGTGTTTCCAAAACATTTTCCCGATAAAAATCCATTGGGTTACTACGATTTCAACAATATTCTTAGTTTAAGACGTTTCGCTAGTATAAAACACAAATAAAGAATTACTTCTTAGTTAAACAAAATATGTAAAATCATCTAAATAGGCACCAAAAATATTCACTTAGTCGTTATAAAAACCGACCAAACAACTATTTCCCGCAGAAATTATAGTCCAAACCAACCAAATTGCTTCTGAACGCTTAGAGTCGACAATGGCCTGAGCGCGCTCTGGTCTGTAGATCAAACAAGTCCTCAGGCGACGAGTTGTAGTGAAATAAGTTTTTTTATTGGCTATTTAAATTTGGCGCTTGCCTTTGGCGGTTGAGGACTCCAATGTCAATAAGAGTGGTTTTGCAAAATCAGCCTGTATGTCGCATCTATATTAATCTATGGTATTACACAGGGGCGGCTGGTGCCAGGAGACACAAGGACACGTGCTTATTCTTGTCCGCTTTTGTCGACACATTCTACATACCTACTCTCTTCTTCGCTCATCCAAAATTTATTTTTTCTCTCTTCATTCCCGCATCTAGATCGGGTCATGATTACTCACTGCTTCTTGTTTTTGGTTGATAGTTGCTGTGGCTTTTCTTTCTCTATTGCCCTTAAATATCTATCATTATACCTAGAATTTCTCTCTCCTCTTCCCTCGTGCTTCTGTAGATCAAAATCTCTTCTACACCTGCTACACCTGTTTTACTCGACTTCTCACTCTTTCTATTTTCTTTCAAGAGTAATCATTGTAGTATTTTGCCCTCTTCTTCCAAAGTGCTCGCAATTTTTCCCGTTTCGTTTCTTTCACAATATAACCTGGTGTTTCACTTAATATCCGTTTAAATATCTTTCTTGGTTTCTCTCTACCTCTTCCAACCTTGTCTACCCCCAGATCTATACCCCATACAATAGAACAGTTTTAACAAAACTATCAAACAGCAATCATCGCCAAATTTCCTTTTTGCAATTCCTTCTACCATCTCGCTCACCTTGTTAGCTGTTTTGCATATGTCCTTTAGATATGTGCTCATTGAGTTGTCCCAGTTAAGTAGAATCCAAATATCTAAATTCCTTACTTCCTCTATTTCTCTGTGTCCCTATTTTCAATTTTTTTTTTCTTCTGCCTTTTTCCTCCGTTGCATCATTTTTGTCTTGTCCACATTTACTTCAGATCCCTTCCTTCTCATATACCTTTCAAGATTTCTAATAATTTCTTTCATTCTTCCGACTTAACTATCACCACAATGTGATCAGCATGTGCCAACACCCAAAACTTCTTTCGTCCAACCACTAACCTTCCTATCTGTAATTTGCTAGACATTTCTTTAAGATCACCAATGTAAGCCGCGAATAGTCCTTGGGCTCACCGAACACCCTTGTCTTACCCCCTTTATTATATCAAAATTTTCACTCTTTCCCATTCCCTCTTACATTGGCCGTTATGTTTTGTACAGTCCCTTGATCCTGTTGATTTTTCCTTTTCAAAGATTCCCACATCTTTCTTCTGTATTTCTTTCACTATTTCATAGGGCAATAAACATTATCCGTTATTGCTCTCCCTTCCTTGAACGCTGCTTGTATGTCTGGCAACAGCCCTTCTGTCTTCATTTCCTTTTCTAGTCTGTTTCTCTGTACCATCGCTTACCATTTGCAACTCATACTTAACAAAGTTATCTTCTACCGTTTTTCGTATTCTCCTTGTCTTCCTTCTTGTATATCGGGCATATTATTCCTTCACTTCACTGTTTTATATGGTTTCATTCACCCGTAGCCCGTTTATAATTTCTGTCATTCTGCGGATAACATTATCACTTTCAACCATGCTTCATTTGGAATCCCATCTTTCCCCGGTGCTTTGACCTTTTTTGGTTTCTCTTGTTGTCGTCTTACTTCTTCCTCTGTCAATGGCTCCACTTTGTAGTTTTCATCTTTTCTTCTATTTCAGTCGTTTCTTGTTTTTCTGTTCTCTCTGCCTTTGCTATGCGCGCTCCCAGCAGTTCCATAAAATGTTGTTACACCCAATTTTTTGCTTTACAGTTTCTTACCTCTTCCTGCTTTTCTTAATGTACTTTCAAACTTTTCTCTCATTTAAATTTCTTTATCTTTTGTGCTTCTTCCTTCATTACTTCCTTTTTTTCTGGTCTTTGCATTTATTTCTATATATTTCTCTGACTTTAAGAAACTCTTCTCTTGTTATCTTAGTTTTCTCATCTACTTAATACCTTCCGCGTTTCCCTTTTTAAAACGTAACAATCTTCATTCCACCAGTCTTTTTTTCTTCCTCCACATATTCTTACACTAATTTTTACCTTATTGCTATTTTATCGGATGTTACTATTCATCCCGTTTTATGCTATATTCATCGGTAGTTTGCGTTGTTAACTACCCTTCATATGCTCCACTAGCCTTCTCATCCCATATTATTCTCAGTTATTTCCCTAGTTTCTCCTCTTCTTTTTCCTGTTTTCTATCATATTCTTCTATTCCAACCTCCAGTGGCGTATGTTCGGAATATATCATTTCCCTCCCTTTGAATTGCGAAATTTGTTCCCACGCTTCTTCATTCACTATTGAATGAAATTCTCTATAAACTCTCAAAAGTCATCTTCTCTATTCATTTTCTTCTCGTTCTGTTGTTCATTCACTTTCTTTTTGTCATCATCTCGGCCCTTATTCAAATTAGTTTAACACAAGGAAGCATATTAGGTCCTTTATTACCGATTATTATCCTGTTGGTCCTGCATAGGTTAATTTCCCTTCATAATTTTACCCTAGGCAACCCATCATACGTAAGACGAAAAATAGATATAACCTTATTTTAAATTTAATCAAAGAAATGAAAAATATTGCCCTAGTGCACCCTACGCTGAAAACTTGTTACTTATCATTAAGTACTGCGCGAACTTGAATTTAACCAGTTTTTCATTCCCTCATTTTGATGTTTTTACTTTTTTTATTCGTTAATTAATAGTGCCTGAATTCTTGCGGATAAGGTGGAAAACCACCAGTGCGATGATGCAACTGAACCTCGCGTCGGCGAGATTCAAGTTCAGGCGGCTAACTGTATACTTAGTAAAAAAAAATGATTAATTTTTCTTTAAATCCATACATATCCAGGAGCATTCATCCTACAGTTTATCGACCATTGTTGAGGGATGTGTTGAACAAAATTCGGTAAAGAAAAAAGAAATTTCCAAAAAAAATTTTTCATGCGTTAATCCATCAAATAAAAATGACAATGTGAATAAAAGTAACATCATGCCATAGACATCAACTGATAATAGCAATAGCAATCGTTCTTATTTGGGCAATTTTAATGAAGAAGAATACAACATATCTATTCATTATAGCAATATTATATTATTTAAGTCAGCTCAGAATCGTTACAAATAATATTGGCCCCTTTTATAATTATATTACAACTACTTCTTGTTTTCCAATTCCAAACATGTTAATTAAGTGATTGTGTGATGTGTATTAGTATTTTTTTCATTTATTGTGAAGAAAAGGATCAACATTTTATTAATTCTTCATGTGATAATTGAACTATTAAAAATTCATTTGAGGGATTAATAGTTATTAATGTACCAAGGGCATTATTCGGATTTAAAAAAAATTATATATATAAACAAAATTGAAGTTGAGGAGTGAAATATCGCTCTTACACTGTATTTTACAAACAATTAGTATTAATATTTGTGACAAAAACATATATCTAAGAGTATGTTAAAACTGTCGTCTTTCACATTGAACATAAAATTTAAACTTTAGGTTTGCGACGCGACGTCGATGCCATAAATGTGTCATATCTATTAAATTAAGTTTCCCCCTGCAAGCTAAATTCAATGGCGTTTAGAGAATTGATATTTCTATCCATCCTCTAGGTGTAAGTCTGTGTAGATATACATGGGAAACCTGTATCTACCATTCCATTTGAAAAATAAAAAATTTGATGGTGACTTCTAGGAAAAATTACTAGTTATACATAATTTGGTATGCCACAAATCATATTTATGTTAGCAGCTCTACAATAGATAAATGGGTGCGAATACCAAACTGAATCTCACAAACAGCTTCCGTGACTTAAGCATGCAGTAAAATTTAAAAATTATGGTTTTTGCTGTTACAAAGTAGCAACTTAAGAAAAATGAATATTAAGTACGTACAATTAAGCGAACGTAATCTGAAGTCGGCGAGATTACGTTAACAAAAAACACCGTGCGGGCAATATTTTTCGTAAATAATGTGCTCGTGCACATAGATCATAAATTCCAAACAAACAAAAACCCTAATGAGCCAAAATTAATTGTTCCATTTATCTCGCTGCATGCAAATTAAATACCTTGTTAAGAGGCACTTAGGCAGCATATAAATCGATGGCAGTCAGCTTACCGCAGAACTAATAGTATTTAACAGTATTTACTGCTTGTAACGATTATTAGAATTTCTTATCCCAACAGAGGCGATTGTGACAAAGACGACATAATTACATCCCGCCTCGTGATATAAGAACCCGCATGGAGGAGTTACGCGTCGAAGAAACAGATCGAAAGCCTCAGAAGCAAACAATCGGCAGTCTTCCCGGATACATTATGGATCAACCACCGCATCGAGAATTCGTTTCGAAACAAATGCTCGCCATCTTAATGACTCGAATTGTAATCCCACTGTTTACCTTTAATTGGTTGCGTCAGATGCAGAACATAATGCGTTTGAACGCGAAGATTTATTGGTTTTCTGTTCCAGCGTTAATGGCTCCCGAAAGACTGCATTGTCTTTCCGCCAGTCCCCAGACAAATTTCTCGGATACCGGCGTTCGTTCGAGAACTGATTTTGATTTATTTTGCTTGCAGCGGATGTCGTACTGTGCACTCTTCCATTGGGAGTCTTAAAATTATGCGCTTCGCCAAATTCTTCACAATTGAACACCGTCCAGTTCGTGCCACCGCTGCCGGATTGGAAGACCTCGGCTATTCAGAGACTGGGATTCGGAAACTTGAATAAGGTCGTTTTGTGTTTTGAGAGAATATTTTGGAATCCGCAGGCGAATTTGTTCGGACATGTGGGCAGCACCACCGCCAGTAGGGGAGAGTTGTTTCTCTTCTGGAATCTCTACAAGGCTCCGGTGCTTCTGGCGCTGGTGGCGGGCGAAGCCGCTGCCATTATGGAAAATGTCACCGACGACGTTATTGTTGGAAGGTAGGTGGAACAAAGGCCACAGTTTTATATTTATTGTATGAACGTTCGTATTACGAAATTAAAACGTCTTACGCTGGAAATAATTAATACATGTCGAGTTCGTCTATGTAATTTTTTAGATTGGACAAGCAATTTTTAATCCTCCATTTTTAACAATAAGCATATCTTAAGGTTAAAAATCGTTTGAAAATAATACCCGCATTTATCTGCAGACTAAATGTCTGTTAAACGTTAGGTCGTGTATAACATCGTATCTTAAATCTCTAATATAGTGTTTCAACAAAAAGGCAATATTTTATGCAGGTACTTCATTAGTTTTAGCTGGAGTACTGACGAAAATAATAGACCTACAATCGGGAAAAATGATGTCTTGTGATTTTAGTAGCATAGTTAATGTGTTAACCCTCAAAGAACGTATTGTTTATTTGTTTTAAGTCATTTAAATAGACAAGGTCATTTTCATATGTGCCAATTTTATTTGTATTGAACGCAACATTGTCCACATTGCTGCACACTAAGTTTGTTATAGTAATTCTATAAAAAAAAATGAAATTGTGGAAGTAGCTACCACGTAATTTTTTCCCTCCTTATCCTAGAAATAATTTCTTTCTTTTCTCAAAAACGTAATGTCTAAATCAAAAGTTTTCACCAGTGTACCCTGTATAGTTTGTATAAATTTGTGAACATTCGTTTCAATTCATACACACCTTCACACTGAACCTTTAACACAACAGTGGACATATCCAGCCGTGCTGGTGTCATCGGTACACGCTACGTCTGAATTTAAAGACATTCGAAATTATCCTTCTTAGTCTTTCGTTCTACCCCCACTCCATGAGAAAAGAGTAGACTACAGGACCAGCATCTGCGTTGCACCTTCTAGCGTCTGTTACATTTGTAAAAAATGTCGACAAAATCACCCTAGGTTCAGTATTTTATAAGAAAATAATTCTCCATTAGATTATTTTTTATAGTAATAAAAGTTTATTATACTTGAACAACAATTACGGTGAAAATTCTTGTAAATTTTTGACATATGATGTATGTCTAGAAAAAGACGAATTCCACGGCCGAATGGCACACTAGTAAACAAATTTAACAAGTGGTTTAATTTTTTGTGTTAAGAAAAGTAATATCTCAAATAAGAACATATGATATTTGGCTTTAATGGAAGCTAGCCGACCACGTGCCGTTTGCCGCACGACACACCGTGGAATATGGCCTATGATTTATATAGTTTAAGGCCATTCGTTACATTTTCCCAATGAGATTTTCAATGCATTTTCAGAATGTAATATCTTTACTATTAACAGATCTATTGCTGTGAAATTTTAAATATAACCTATCCACAACTTCCTCTTCATAACGAAAGGGTAGTTTTATTAAAGCAGGTTATCACAATGTTTTTCTTTTAATTTTAGTGAAATTTTTGCATCACGTAGCTTCAAAAACCAATATCAATTATACGCGAAAATTTCGGAATGCGATGTTCTACACTGTTTTCAGGTTACAAAATTATAGAAATCGTATGATACACATTGTCAAATTTTTTTTTGGAAATGGGATACAGTGTAAAGAACCTTGTGTCCTGCAAATACCGGAAGCTTCTTTTTACTGAATCTCATTTCCAGCACAAAAGTCCACAGTGTCTCTGGTACGATTTCTTGAGTTTTGTAAGCTGAAAACAGTGGTGGAAACCGCGTTCTGAAATTTCCGTAAATAATTGCGATATTGATTTTTAAATGTACGTAATGCAAAAAAAAACAAAATTAAAAAAACATTTAATAATAAACGGGTTAAAAAAACCTTCACTCATACTATAGGAGTATAATGAAATTTGTGGACAGGTTATATTTACAATTTCATAACAAGTCTGTTAATAATGAAGGTCTTCCATTCTGAAAATGTACTGGCAACACCATAAGAGCCAAACGTAGCGACTTCTCTTATTAATTAAAAATACTTAAAGTTATAAAATTTTATTGTTATACAAAATAATATCTCTGTAACACAGATATTTCTAGTGAAATAAATAGGGAGAATATACAGGGTGTCTCAGAAATAAGTACATTAATTTTAATCAGTTATAGAGCTCATTGAACTCAACAACTTTTTTTAGTAGAGTTTTGTCAAGAACTTTTTAATTATCAAGTTAAAAATTGTTAAAGTTATACCCGAATTAAGGTTACCCGCCCATGGATCCTCAGTCACCCATGGACACTAATAATTATTGTAATTAATAATTTATGGTCAAAAACAGTTACTAGGATACGTATTTTCCTAATCTTGTCAATATGACAAACATTTAGAGAGAAATTGAAAATCCTGCTCCCTAATGGCGTACGGAATTTCATCGGCCCAAATGTGGGTGTTGAACACCTTCCCTCGTGTAACCGACCTCATCAGTTGATGGTATAAGAGATACAAAATTTGCTTGTTCATTTATTTTTCTATTAACCCACTCACAAAAGTTTTGCCTACGTGGTAAGTGTGTTAGTTTCAATAACTGAACTTTCTGGTCCTGAAAGGGGTACATTTGTTCTCTGAGTATCCTCCAAATACTACTCTCTGATTCATCACACTAGACAGTGATGCGTGCTAGTGCCCGGTCGAGCTTCGACACTCTTCAAAACAGCCTCTTCAATATTAGCAATTCTATTACTACGTAACTTACTCCGATCCTGAGGTGCAGGTTTAAAAGATCCCTACTCTCGAAAATGCTGCAACGTTCTTAAAACTGTGCATATTTGGCAGACGATTTGGGAGGTTTTCTGAAAAAATTTGTTGGGCGCGAGTGCCGTTTCCCCGAGCTTTACCGTACGTTAGTTAAAACGATATCGGTGCATTCCAGATTTGAAAACAAAGCCATTTCAACACATTTCGTCTATAAATTAGAAATCTGTGCCAAACAAACTTTAAAGAGACAACGTTTAATAAAAACATTGACATAAAAATGATTGTCAGTGTCAAAACGGTTGCTACGGTACCTTCTTCATTGTTGTAGTGTTGCTATTATTTAAGTTATTATTTAAGGTGAACATAGACGGCTCGTGAATATATGGGTGGGAAAATTCGAAATTCGACTTGAGTTTTCGAAAAAATGCTAGATAAAAAAGTTGTTCCGTTTCACGAGTTCTGTTACTGGTTAAAATTAATGTACTTATTTCTGAGACACCCTGTATATGTGTGAAAACCTAAGGAAAAGAATAAACTTTTTCTACCGCCCACGTTTTTTGGTTTTCTAATAGAGCTATTAACGCACGCAAATGACGTCACAGCAGTTCGTTAATAGCAGAAAGGCGTTCTTTAATAGATCTGGTGTAATTTAGATCGGTAAGATTGGTAGCAATGACGAGAAATGTCAAGCGAATGTCAGTAGCAAATCTAAACTTAAAATTTCCCATGTTTCCGGACGCGTAACTTCTTCGCAAGACATTTTAACCAATTTTAAATTACAAAACCTCGAATTGGTTCGAATTACAATTGTTGTTGTGAAAATTAGAACCTCAAATATTTCGTGGTTAGTGTCAGACCGACCCATCACCAACCACGACAAAAGTCCCCAGATTAAAAAAAATGCAAATTTCAATTAAATTTTGGGAAAAAACGTGTGCGGTAGAAAAAATAGTATAAATAACTCGTTCATAAGGCCATTGAGGCACTCATCCTTTATATAACTCGCGGCTTCGCCGCTCGTTCTATAAACTTGGATTCGTGCCTCAATATTTGCCTTATGAAACTCGTTCTTTAATATACTATTGTAATAGTTAATATAACAGTATTGTTGGAAGTGATTATGGTATAGTCTTCCACAGAGTCTCACTGTTATGGAGTCAAATACCTCTAAATAAGCTTATAATAGGCCGAGGTACAGGGATGGACCCCTGCGGTCGGTTTTATAATACCTCTATTATGGTTTTCTTTGTTGAGATATTTGACTCCATAACGATGGGACCCTGCCATATAACGTTAAAGCCTGTGGAAGACTACAACAAAATCACATTTTTTACTACTTCTACTAATACAATAGAAGCTGAAGGATACATCAAAAAAGACAAAAAACAAATTCTAGAAACGCGACAGGAGGTAGCTTTAAAAAGTTAAATAATATTTGTAAAAGAAGCGATAATTGAAAAACTGGAGAATTTAGTAAATAGTACACCATAATGACTACTGCATCAACGAAACGAACTATGAAAAAGCAAATGCAGTAAATAATTAGAAAATTAAAAAAGAAAGTAATTATGACAATATATATACATAAACAATGTTACAATATTAAGTAATAGGAAAATATAGAGAAAAACATGAGAACAGCTTTCTGAAAGATAAATATATATGTTCGATCATATTTTTACTCAATTTAGAACAAAAACAGAGATTGCGAAATACGCTACGATTTTTACACTTTAACTTAATGAAGTATTAATGGGAGAAACGGGTTTTCTATACAGTGTGATAGCTTCAATCCTTACAAAGAAATTATTCATGTAAAATACAATTTCAATAAAAGTTCGCTTACATATTGAATCCACTCATCGGAACCCTGTGAAGAGGTTTTACCTTTTAGTTCTTAACCTAGCAGGGATTAACGGAGCTACAGTTTTTGCTTTAAAATTCCTGGAGAAGTAAGAACAGTTCTTACCAACCAAGCGGTAGACAACCAAAAAGGCAATATAGAGTTGTGCAAAAAATTGTAAGGAATAAACTGATCGATAAGACGAAAGTGAAGCTTGGATTTAGGTAAAGGATAGTATTATTGACGTTATTAAGATTTATAAAAGAAGAATAGGAATTGACATCATAGTACGGCAGTAAGAATTACAACAGAATAAGCGACAGTTTGCCGATAATTTCGTTTTTATCTAGCTGGAAATTTAGAAAATACCTTTTGAAATATGCAAGCAACAAGAGTAATTACAAACACAACAAAGCTATGATCTTTGAGCTGAAGAGATATAAAAAATGCAAAAGATAGTTAGGTGAAAAGGGACGGGAAGAAAAGTAGTAATGAGGTATCATCAGATATCCTTTTTCCTCAGAAAAAGTATGAACCAATAATGAAACCGAAATATTGGTAGGAGTAAATAGTGCTCTAAGAGGAGTTTAAGATCCATCTGAACATGAATGGGGATAATTTTTAGAAATATTTTTTTTTGTGGATTGCCTAGTTTCAAAGATAACAAGAACAAGCTGAAACTTCTATGGACTTGAATATGAACAGGAAGGAGAGCGTTCACGAATAAAAAGAGTAAGAAAAGAGACTTAATATGAGGTACCGATCTCTTGCGTACTCCGAAACCCTGCGCCATCCTTCTTTGTCGGTCTAAAGGTTTTCTTCTAGTTGTCTGTTTCTCATTTCTCGGTCAATTCCTTCCCTTCAACTGAGTCGTGGTGTTAGCCTTTTTCGTTTTCCATGTGGGCTCCATTTTTGGATCTGCTTTGGTAGTCGATCTTTGGGCATTCTTTGTACATGCTCATACAACCTTTATTATTGAGTACCAAGATTTTCAATCATTTATTATGTGACGTATTTTCTTTTCTTTTTCCTATTTCGATTTTCCGCCAGAGAACCTCCAGAAGTCAAAATCCGTAGCTTCTGGTTTCTTTTTGGATATTTCTTTTAATTGCCGTTCTTTGCTTCTATATGTGGTTGTACTCTTGACCATGGTACAAGAAGACATGGTGTGCTACTCCGGTGGATAAATTTTCATCTGCCTTGCATGTCACGTCACATTGCCTTGAAAGCCGTGTTTGAAACACTCTTCTGACAACTTCGCAAGCTGTCAAATGTCACTTTATCAGTGATATGTGAGGTTATAACAGAGGTTGAGATCCGGTTCAATTTTTAATCACGGGTTAACTTATCTTCGAAGGTGCCAAGTTGAAACCAGATGCTAATAACACGTGTTCAAAATTTGGCATCGTTCGTTGATAGTGATAATACGAACATGCAACAAGCCAGAATTTAAATTTGGCTGTCATGACAGCCATATGACGTCACACAAAATGCGCAATATCATACCATGTCTTGTTGTACCATGTTCTTGACAAAGTTGTTATAGATTCTGTATTTGTTGGAGTTAGATACTGTTTGGTTCTACAAAATACTGTCGAGACGTGTGATGCCTTTCCTCCCTTTATTGTTTCTTTCTGGGATTGTTTCGTCTAAACTTCCGTCTTTTGTGATGGTCAAACCAAGGTACTAATACTGGTCACTTGTTGCATTTCATACCCATCATCTAAAGTGAGATTTTGCTGTTTACTATCCGATACTCATATATTCTGTTTTCTTTATGTTCATATCTAATGCCTATCTTTTATACTCTTTGTTTAACTTTCTATTCATATACTCGATCTTGTGTTAGTATTAGTTGGTCGTCTGCAGATGTTAGTGTGTAAGTATACTGTATTATTATTGATGTTTTTACATTTACGTTTCCATATTTTTAAGGCTTTTTCTAGGCAAATCTTGAACAGTGTCGGAGAAAGACAGCAACCTTATTTGAATCCCTTGTTAATTTGGAAGCTTTTGAGACGATGTTTTCAATTTTTTTTCTTGCTGTGGAGTTGGGATACTCTTATTTACCGCTTGTATTAAATTTACTTTATATTATCTTTTCTAGTCATTCCCATAGTTTATTTTATGGGATACTGTCTTATGCCTTTTTTAGGTGGACATATACAAAGTGTAGTTCTTGGTTGACGGGAATTTTTTTTTCTATAATTTGCGTGACGCAAAACAGATGGTCAACTGTTGATCTTCCTGCCCTGAACACAACGTCTTCTTCAGTTTCCATATCACTATTCGTTTTCTATTTTGTTTTTTTACTAATTTTTCATACATTCTACTGACTGAACTTGTAACTGTGATATCCTTATAGTTGTCACACTTACCTCTACTTGCTTTTTTATACATGGTGGATATGAAGTCTGTCTTACATTCTTTTGGGATTTACATTCCATTTAGGAAATTATGGAAGAGCTTAATTAGGCTGACTGTTCGATACCATATTTCATTAATTCAGATGATATGTTTCCTGGACCTAGTGCTTTGTGGTTTTTTGAAACTTTTATATACTTCAGTAGGTAAACGAAGATGTGTCGCCACACTTCTTTTAAATTCTTTTGTGATTATTCGTAGTGGGGAAGCTGAAATGATGATATTTTGATTTTTGATGTTATTATGTCTTTTTTCTTTTCTGATTTCAGTGATTTTAGCAACTTCCAGTTTTCAATACTCTTCCCTCCTCCTAAATATGCGTTTAACCTATCACATGTTTGTTGCCAGGTTTCATTTTTCTTTTGAGAAAATCATTCTTGGGACTATTGCTTTAGCTTTTCTATAATTATCTTGTCAACTTTATATTTTATACTTAAGAATTTTCCATGCTTTTTCCTTTTGTCCTCTCTCTTCTAATAGTTATATGGTCGTTTTCGTTTGATTTTTGTTTGGTATCCTTAGGCTTCTTTTGCGCCTTCGTGAACACATATTTTTATGTCTTGATAGTTCATTTAATTGATGTAAATTTTTTATTTCTAATTTCTGATTTAATCTCTTTCTATATAGTTAATTCGCTCACGCTGTCTTGTTCTAAGTTGTTTAGATTTTATTTTTTGTCCTTTAATTTCTCCTATTTTTCTTCTGTTTTTTTGGGTTTGCCAGTCACTGACTAGTCATTGCCACGAGTGGCTCCTCTATATATTTGCACAGTCGAATTTAGCCAGAGCAAGAAGGCGAATGTCTAAAAGAAAAATTTAGAACAATAAATTCAAATGCAATGAAAATTTTGAAAAAATACACAATTCATCTACAAATTCCTGACCTGACAATCTGCCAGAAGCAGTAAGCATACGACAACTAAAAACGTTAAATTTCCAAAGGTAACCTTTCTATAACCAACGTGTTACTGGTACTTGCAATTTTTATAACAAAAGCGGACTTTGATCAGACACTCTTTTGCGATCTGGCCGTTTCATTGAATACAAATATTGCCGAAATGAATGTGACCACTTGTTACATGATTTTCGACAATACTGAGATCGGAATATCACCAAAATAAATTGATTACAGTACGCAGATTAAACTGGAAATCAGAAAATACGGATTAATTCTAGAAGAATATAACGAAAAGAAAACATAATATACCAGGAACATGAGGAAAACCTGGAAATATGTAAGTTCTATTTTGAGAGTAGAAGGAAAATGGGAATCTCACTCGATATAGTTTTCTTTATTCGATTGAAACATTTCCCATGATCGAAATTCTGCAGGGAATAAAATTCTGATTTTCATTTCATTGTGTAGTTTTTTCTTCCAAAATTTTGCAACCCCATGTGTGGTATGAAAATATTGTTGAGATGTTAGAATTACTGGGGAAATGGATCTGATTTCTTAGCAACTTAACGATGGCCGTTCAATTCACCCGATCTTAACCCGATTGAACACCTCAGGAATCATCTATATCGGCAAATTAGATTTTTTTTTTCATAATCTTCAAGGGAACAATACAAGAGCAATGGCAAAACATTTCGGTAGAAGTGTGTTCCCTGGCTCGACGATACCTCGTAGTGAGTGAGGCAAGAGGTTATGCAACTAAACATTGATTTTTCTACAACTTGGTGGTATTTGTAACAAATCGAAAAGTTTCACACTTCTGCCATTGCTTTTGTTGATTCTAATTAAAGGAGAAAATATTTGTTTAAATCTGCTGATTTTGAAAGATATCCCTTAACTGCTTCAAGGCGTACTACATATCCACAAAAATAATTTCCTTAGAGACATTAGAAAATTTGATGAGCCTAATAATACGATTTCCGTTCGTTTTTACACTTGTTCCATCGAGTTCTTGCATTGTTGTATACCAGATTAACAAAAGTTCTTCCACGTTCCAAAGAAGGCATATTTTGATTTTTAAAGTTGCGGACTTAAAGTTAGGATTCTTGTTGGACAATAAGTTTGACGAGCTATTCAATTTGTACACACTTTAGTACTTCTGCACTGGAAATATGGCGACAATAAATAAACTGCTATTTTTGTTTGTTACTTTCGTACCTAGGGAGACAACCTAGAATTTCTACGTTCTCTAAATGGTAATATGTGTCTATGTATTCAGTGTTAAGTGAACTGGAAATAAGAAATTATATACGTTACTTTAACAAATATGAAAAACAACATTAATGCTAGCGTTTAAGAATATAGGGGTATTTTTTATTTCACTTGACACTTATCAGCTAAGTACAGTTAGCCATTTACATCCACTCGGCTACAACTCCTTTTTATTACGCATAATACGAAAACGTGCGGATTGAAACGCTATTAAACATCTCTTACTTCTTGTACGTCTAATAATAAAAATTACTCCCATCTCTCTCACCGATAGTAGCTACATCAATACCGAATTAATAAAAATTTGTATTAGATGCATCGCCGTCCTACGAGGAATTTTCGGACAATCCGGGGTACCCCAACCTAAAGAAACGGTCGTCACTCGATGGAGAGCTGATCCGTGGTCAAGAGGATCGTACAGTTTTGTGGCTGTCGGTAGTTCCGGAAGCGATTACGATTTATTGGCATCACCCGTGATTCCGCCGAGTAGCCAGGGAGTATCGGTCACATCGGGCCCCGCCAGGGTCTTCTTTGCAGGGGAGCACACAATTAGAAACTACCCCGCGACTGTCCATGGAGCTTTTTTGAGCGGTCTTAGAGAGGCAAGCAGAATCGCCGATCAAATTATTGGAAACCCGTGCCTTCCTCAACCCACGGAATGAGGGGAATGAGGATCGTGTAGAGTAGGATAATTCTAAATTTAGTTTAGGTTTGATTCGGGACGATAAACCGAGCTTCATTTTTTTAACAACGTGTCGTGAATTTTTAACACGTTGAGGGACGCAAAATATTAATTTTCCGATAATATTCGGTTCATCGTCCACTTAATTTAGCGTGTGTGTGTGAAGAAAGAAAAAGGTAAAGGTGGCGTAAATTGCCGGAATAATTATATCCACACATTTTTTTGGTGTTTTGAACGAATTTATAGATCTTTGTTGATAGCCGAAATTGGCGTGAGCGATGTTAATAATAAGTTACTAGTATGGTGAACATAATTTATTTGCTTTACTACTATAACGTAAAGTGTATGCGTAAGATAATTCTAAAAGTGCCCTATAAATCTGACATAATTGCAGTCTGTAGTATCGTTGCATAAAAAGTATTAAATATTGTAAGGTTGTAAGTTGTAAGATAAATTTCTTCTGTATTTTATGCACAATTATGTGCTTGTACCACGTCACGTAAATTATAGCAAAAGTATTCCACTGTTATAATACCCTATTCGTAAAAAAGAAAGTAAGTACAGTTCCAGGTAAAGAAGGATGATTAACCAGAACTAAAGCGAAACAGATCACGAACGACTGCAGCGGAGTGCCATAGAAGTGAAATTCCTGTTTGGACTAGGAAACAACTTAGACTCTAAATGATAGAAGCAATTTATTCTAAAATTAAACCTTTACCTTATCCACTTTTACAAGCTTTTGATTTATTATTTTATAGCCAATTTATTCATTTAGTTGATATTAACGACGTTAATGTAAGTTTCGTTTTATAGCGTAGTTAGTAATATCGCCATCACTAAAATGTCATAACGCGTTCTAATTACATGCTCTACATAGTAAGCCAACAAATTGTAACGTGATATACTTAAGTAAAATTGTTAGTTAAGTAGGTAGCTTGTAAGATGGAAATCAAACATTTACACTTTCGTTTCACAACTGGCAGCTTGTTCAGCGTGCGTTCTTATCAGTTCGTTGAATGTTTGGTTTCTTTTTAATTTTTTGATATTGTAATGAAGTAACGGTTCCGAAAATAAATCGCAAATGACAAGCAAGGTATTGAAGCTCTGTGCATTGTGCAGAAAAACACCCATCTCTCATCCTATTAATAATGCGTTCCTTGTACCAAATAAATCACTGCCTGCACTTCGTATTTCTCAATTTGTTTCGCCTGGAGTTTACCAATTTACAGTTTATCTTGGTTAGCGTCACAGCGAAGGTGCACAATCAAGGACGGCCAGATTCCGAAAAACTCATCCCGTAACTGCGAAAAAATCTCTTTTTCGCTGTTTTAATGAACCAAATACCGACAAACAGGTGTCAGATTGTATGATTCTCGTAAACAAACAGCAATTAATTCCTCTCGTATTGTTGCGGTTTAGGTGGTTGATTTGACTGGCGGCTGGTTGACTGGAATGGTAAGTTCATTAGTTATGTAAATCGAATTCGCTCTTAAATAATGATTTACTGCTCTCGAAGTCTGATGGTAACTGGATAAGGAAAGCTTTCGGATGGCCACGGCAGATATCCTAGGCAGTTATACAACGGATACTATTTAATCATGTACATTTTCATAAACAAATAGAATATTTTATGGGAACCGGAAAGTAGCCGAAGGGGCTGTTGCGTGGACGGAAACATGGCATACGTTTGGCCAAAGTGGGCAAGGGCGGCTCGTCATGGAAGGCTGAATTATTGTCAGTTCGAAGAATTTTTTTAAAACCAGCTAAGTTTTATTCTTGACTGATTCACTAAAATTTTATAGTAAATTTTCATTTTATCTTAATTGTGGTTTTCAAAAATTATTATTGACAGGATTATATACAATTATTGCGTCAATTTGACGTTCAATTAATAAACTAGATAGCGATTTAGACAGAGTTAAATAAAAAACCGTGAAAAATTCGCTACTGTTGTCAGATTCATCCTAAACAATTTTTAAAAAGTTTCTTGCTATATTATAAAGTGAAGAAAACAAAGGATAAACACAAAATACCTCCAAAATTATTATGAATAATGAAAGTACAAAATAGTGAATCAAAAATATGGTGATACATATCTCGAAAGGAAATTTGGATAAACAATTTTTTGAACACCTGTATATCAGAACAATGACCAAACGCCATCTCAGGGAAATACAAGGAAACAGCTTTTTGTTACCTGTAACTAAACAACATTCATTTAGCTTTATCAGGCACCTGCAATCACCCGCTTCAAGCCGTATTTACGCCTCTAAAATTTATTCGTAGTTCTTTCTTTTATATTGAACCATCATCTGTAAATATGTACCTACGTATTATATCCAAGTTTTTTGTATTTTTTGTCAATAAGGTTTTTGTTTCAATATTTATTATCGTTCACTTCAAATAACTTAGGGTTACTTGTAACATTACTTTCAAACAAATTGAACTCGTAGAAACACAGCTTTTGAATTTTATTTGATTTAACATCTAAGCATTTCTGGTTCCGTAGTGGTGCTTAGTAGAATAAAGAAATTAACGAAGAAATAAGCGTGTAGGAGATGATAATAATATCATATGGTCCACAAAATTTCTATTTAGAGTAGGCTGTTTATTGGAAACAATTAGGAAGTGTGCGGATATTAAAATTACAGCCTACCCTAAATAACAGTTTTGTTGATCATATGGTATCTGCTGAGCCACGTACATAATTCGTGCTCGCAGTTGCCTGGGTTTCAAAAAACAGTTGTCGGTACTTTGTGAAAGGCAAAGAGCATCACTCCCGCGATGCCGAAGCCTGGTTATAAGAAACAATGAGAATGTCAAAAAACACATACAAAGAAAATTGATGAGAATTGTTAAAAAGAGAGTACACAAAGTGAAAAAACAGCAGCATGGCGAAACACATTGTGGTTTTAGAAGGAGTTTGATATATATTTTTTTAAAGGAAATAATCGCGAAAACGATAGACAAACAAGGATGTCTTTTACAGATTTAGAAATAGCCTTCGAAAATATGTCTTTGGCAAAAATTTGGTTGGTACTTGAAACGACAAGTGTGAATCTAAAGTCGATATAGCAGTAAGAGGATTTATAAAAATAACAGCAACTACGTAAAAATCTAAACTGTTTCATAAGAATTAAATACACCAAAAAATTGATCTAAATTTATTTAGACAGAACTTCCATCTCCCCTAAAACACATTCGGACAAATACAGCTTCTTCGAAATAATAAAGTAAAAAAAATATTTGCGATTTTTATGTATTACATCATCCGCACAGACACAGATAATGCCATATATTTAAATCAGATAACCAATGCGAAAAAATAAATTATCAGTACATGCTTAACTTCGATAGATTATATTTATACATCTAGAAAATGCAACGATTAAGCAAAACATTCTGAATATCATTTTGAATACATAGTTCTGTTATGATGCTAATTCTTGTTTTCTTATTATTAAATATAGGCATACTGCATTTTCAAATTTTCGTCTACAAAAAATTGTGAGCCATGAGGCAATCGAACCATTTTTGTCAAAAAATGTGGATGCCTGGAGTAAAAAATGAAGGTGGATTCATAAACCACAAGTACGTTATTTTCTAAAATTTAAATTTATTAAAGAGAATTTTGAGGGGGCATCATCAAACTGTTGGCAGGGATGATGACCCGAATTTTAATTAACGTTTTACCATGCACACGTTATTTGTTAGTAGTATTTCGAAGATTACCTGTCTAATAAAAATAGATCGATACAGGCAGAGGACAGATGGCAGATAGACAGATGGAAACGACAGACCTAATTTTTTGTACTCTGTAGGTAATGATAGTAGGTATTTTCTCAATGGAGCCTGTTACAATACATCCTTAGCTAACGGTCGGGATTCAGCTCAGTATTATATGTACATGTATATAGTTGTAGTGGGTAATGTTATAACGAAGTTTGAAAATAAAGGTACGAAATGCGGAACAAAATCTAACTCGCAAAGACATATAAAACAATATAATATGAATATTAATGTGAAAAAAAAATTATTGAAGGTCATTTCGACAGAATTTCCCTCGCCCATGTAGTGCAATACAACTTATCCAACAGTTTCGAGAGTTTATAAAATTTGTTTTTTTTTATGATAACCCCTACAAATTAAAATAAATATATATGTTTAGTAAAGGTAGATAAGCTCTTCGCATGTTTCAAGTGAATTTTTTCATTACAAAATTTTTTGAAACGTAATTCAGTTTGGAAATGTGGAGTTTAATTGTAACAATAGTAAAACTATATTCTCAAATTTTCTGGACAATAGAGACAGCCATTTTTAATTCATTCAATAAAATAAATTATAAATAAGGTGTTACGCACAACTACCATACACATCTAAATATCAAAGAAAACAGTGCTCGAAGACTAGATTTTGCATTGATACACATTATTCTAAGAAACAATAAGCTCAGAACAAGATGCGGAGACGCCCGATGGTCACAATTTACGATTGCTTCTGTGTATTTGATAACTTGCCTAATTTTTTCAATGTAAAAAAAGAATTTCCTGCCATTTTGTAATTAAAGAAAGAACGAGATTTTCTTAATACAAAAAAAAACTGGTCCAACTTATTGACACCTCTTGATGTTGGGTCCAACAAATTTAGGTTCTCTTAAAAATTATAAAATCAAAGTGACCGTTATAATTTATGGTATGAGTAGGAAAAAAAAATGGATACATCGGATTTCGATTCTAGGACCCTTTAGATCCAAAACCAACGCGGTTGTACCTGTATTTAACAAGGAAAAATATTGAACTATAAAAATTGTAATAATAAACAAAAACAAGGCAAATTCATAAACCACAAGTAAAAAGTATGTTATATTTTATAATTTATAGAGCAGATACCAAGCCAAATTTTGGAATAATGATAAACTGGGGATTTAAATCCAAAGCACTGAAGAAACGTGAAACGGTGCACTAATAAAAATGCTGAATAAAAGAAGAAACATGTGAATGGAAGCAAGAGATTTACGCTAACATAAAATGACAACGGATACTCCAAAAAAGTGAAATCTGGAAACTGATGCGGCAGTTTTTGAAATTCCAATCTTTATTGGCATTTTTGCGTCAACACTTTACTGAATAAATAAATAAATAATGAATTAACTAATTAATTAATTATTATTGAAACCGTTGAAACTTCGATCTCGGTAGTATCCCGGATGCGAATTGCGGATTCTCTACTTTTTTTTAAAAACAAATCATTATTATTAATTGTGCATATAATTATAATTTTTATATTAGACGTAATTATCGTAGTTGAAATGTCTTCGTGGTTCAGATCATGAGCAAATTCACCTATGGTCTAGCTATACCTGACCATACTAAGGCTGAAAATGGACTAAAGACTTTATATAACAAAATCTAGAAGAATATATAAACCACAAATACAAAAATGTATTTTAAAATAAATACGATTTAATTATCAAACTTTTGAGAAGACGTCACAAAATTCGGTGGAGACAGACAGACTAGCGATCTGTTAAACGGATTATAACGTTAAAACATCTGCTAAATGTCAGAGCGATTGGTTCAGTACTTTCTAAGAAAAACTGTAAAATTTTGTTGTACAATTTTGATTATTTTTCCCACTATATTCACCTACAATATAAAAAATTTACATATATAACTGATAAATCACAAATATAGGCATTTTGGGCAGGATTTATTTATATTTATCACAATTTTGAGATGACGTCAACAACTCTTTGGAGGGGATAAACAGATAAATTTTGTGTAGCGACTAACTATGTTTGTAGTAACCCTAAAACATTTGAAGCCTTCAAGCAGTGGACTTTTCATTTTACAAGATGAAAGTAAAATGTTACTAGAATGAAACGTCAAAACGTTTATATAGAAAATATTGGGGCACGTTGATTAGGGGCCATTCGTATTAAATAATCTTGATGTAGTCCTTTTTCTTAACTAATACAGTCCTATTTAATGTTGTGAAGCTTTGTTAAAACCGTTTATTTAGCGCAATGTTTATTGAAAGATAGAACTAAATTAAAAATCTATTAGTCTGCTGTTTTCAAAATTCTAGGTACC